TGGTTAGCCAATTGGCAAACCAGCGATACTACGGACAACTCCTCATCATCAGTTATCATGAAAGCGCCGAATGGAACCATCTCCACATCGTCCACGATTGCGGGTGGACAGCAGGAACCTGCAGATGCTCTATATTCCAGGGAGTCAGATTTCTTAGAAGAAAACGACGAGCTCAGTGGAGCGGAGAGTTGCGAGGAGGTAAATAAAATTAATTTCTATTTATTTAAATTTGGCATGTTGTTCATTCTAGGTTTGGTAAAAGAATTTATTTTATTTACAGAATATTTCCGAAATCTCGGAATTTATATGTTTCTACAACCCCGAATCTGTCTCTACTATTTCTTCGCCGGCGCCCGACGGGAAGTACCTGGTCCAAATGAAATTGATTCCATTGAAGGAAGCCAAGAAGGTGGTCAAGGAACAAATTTGGACCAAGATGACGAAATCTGTGCAATTCGTAGTGACGCCGTTGATGGTGGAGAGAAATCGGAATCTACAACATCTACTAAAGGACGTAAGGGAAAAAATTGCAACTCATCAAAACGTCAAAAAGGTTCGAAAATTACGCAAATTTTACAATTTTTCGAAAAATTCCCGGTTTGTCCCTTATTAAGTTCGTGTAAAACCGCGCAGTGGATAGATAACTCGGAATTAAAAAGAATTGGCAGAACAGACTCCGATTATATAACCGCTATTGATATATTTCAAAGGTCAATTTGTAATAAAACAAACGAACTCATTGAATTTTATCTAAATTCGCAGCCTCTTTTCGATTGCACATCCGGTCACGTGTACGATTATTATTATTCCGTCGAAGAATCAACTTCTAAATTATCGGAATTAATTTCATATCAATGTAATTACGACGAGGATTACATAAAAGAATTTTTAAGTGTTGTTTACAACATTTTAGATCGCAAGGAGGAGAAAAAAAATTGCATTCAAATAAGAGGACCTAGCAACGCGGGAAAAACTCTTTTCGCCAAAATATGCGCGTCCTTGTGTTTAGTTAAAGGACAAATCGCGAATTTTAATAAGTATTCACAATTTCCTCTACAGGATTGTGTTGATAAACGAATTTTAATATGGGACGAACCGAATTGCGAACCGTCAGCTTATGATACCTGTAAAATGTTATTTGCGGGAGACCCCTGTATGGCGAATATAAAATATCAATCACATGTTCAAATAGATAAAACTCCGGTGATTGTAACGACAAATGCGGAGGTCTTTCCAAATAACGATATTTTTAATAATCGCATGTATAGATTTAATTGGGATAATTGTACTTTATTATCTAATTTTACTAAACACTTGCATCCATTAGCATTGTATAAATTATGGAAATTGTATGGAATAATTAAAACTATTGTTGTTAATGAATAAATTTATTACATTGTAACACTTTATTTCAATAAATATACATATACTCAATCACTGTTATTATAATGACCTTGCCAATTTTCACAATAATGTCCACCGACATGATTCTGAGAAATAAAATAATTATGATTAGCTTGTTTTGTCGCTGATGGGAATCCCATTTTATTTGCGTACATTCCATCGGCATATATTAAGTCGGTACGAATACCGATGACACATGATGCGCGAATTTCATATTCCGCGGAAGCATTCACCCAATTTTGATTGGCATCGGCTGGTGCATTAGATTGTACCGGTTCAATGCCAATATGAACTTGAGGTTGAGATATCGTGTGTGATTTGTTGTTCGGGTGTCCAGTCATAAAATTCTTTTCGATTATATTTTCGTAACCAAATTTTTGCTTGTCTTTTTCTCTACAAGGCGCGAAGCTCATGTGAGTATTTTGGAAATTGTTATCTACCAAAAACTGAGTTTCTTTTACTCCAATGTCGAGCCTTCCGGAAAGTAATTTCAATTTATTCGGTACCACGGACGAGTTGTAAAGATGCTTTAAAATGCCATTTCTGGGTTTATACGTATATCTTACGCACGGAGTATTGATATGTTCATTGAGATTATACCTTTCGACAATTTTATCCAAACAAGGCCATCCAGTTTTGATGTAATAACTGTTGGTCGATCCATTGCCCGTACACATGAGCACGGCATAGGCGGGTAGCGCTCTGTTTGCACCCCAGGAAGAAGGAAAAACAGGATCTTTGTTGGAATGATAATTTGCAGTTTCCCCGTATAATCTATAGGTAAATTCCGACGACGTAATATTTGTGAGCGAATTTATGGTCATCGGTTTTTTCTCATCATTTTTCAAAATATAGTTGACGTGTTCGACTTTATGGTTCAAACCCACACAATGTTTTCCAAATATTACGTGCATAGAATTGGCACTTCCGGTTAATGTCGTACCCGTGTCGAATGAGCATCTCACTCCTTTTGGTATTATTTCTACGTAAACCTCTTTAATAAAGGATCCCAGTGGCAACATGGAATATTCTGCTGGAGATAGATAAAATGGTATCCAGTCGACAGGTACGTATGCTAGGCTTGTACTTAAACCCATATAGTTGCTTTCTTTACCCTTTGGTCCTAAATTAAATCGGTGTGATGCAAATCCCCATGTATGCATGATGCGAGATTTCTTAAAAAATGTAAATGTAGGACTTGCCAGTGACTTCATCATATAGAGTACACCCGATCCATTTGTAGGATTTGTAACCCCTTCCGTATTGGACGGATTTCCCATTTCCTCTCCGGCATCTACTTCGTCGGTATTCATGGGAGCATTCCCTTGACTCATTTGGGTACCATATCCTTCGTCTTGTCCAATATCCGAAACGTCACGAGAGGATGAAGGTTGAGCAGGATCTTGTGTAGGATCTCGTCTTGACAATAGTTCCTTATTACGAGCTTCATTTTGTCGATTTTCATTATCTCCTCTCCTTCTCGTTAGGCCAAGTCGTACTGGCAATTTTTTATATTTTTCTTCGTGCTTATTGGACATGTCTGGATATAATACACCTGTGTTTTTTTCCAGAATACTCTTGAGCTTTAAACCAGCGGCACCTACAATTCTATTGGTATTATACAGAAAAATTTAATATAACCAAACTTACCGATCAATGAATGCCAGTTACCGGTTGTTGAAAAGTCACTCCAAAATTCTTTTACGGCCTCTTCGTCAGCTCTTAATACGTCTTCTGCCGATATGGCGTTAGCGTAGGCGTAGTCGTGTTTTTCGGCTATGTAATCGTCACTGTCAACGGGCTCCCCACTCTCCAATTCGTTTCCCGGACCCAAATATCGATGATATGGTAACACGAAGCGCGGAGGCATACTGCGAAAGAAATGTTAACGAGGTTGCCTTATATAGAGAACCTAATTCAGAAAACGCCTAAAAACAAACCAGCAGCATCGGTTTTGAGTCTAAACATACTGGAAGCTTGTCGCAAAAACATATTGTTTTTGTTCCAGCAGCTACAACAGCAGCACCCAGTATAAAAAAAAATATATTCTTTATAAAAAACCTCTCATTCCTTAACCAGCGACTACAACAAGTGGTATATATTATTATAAAATTTAGTTATAACCAGGATGTCGTTCCTGCTGCTGGTTAAGGAATGAGAGGTTTTTTATAAAGAATATATTTTTTGACAACTCTCTATAAAAATTGTTTTCCAAGTAACCCTCATAAAGGTCAAAATGAAGGTGCAAAATGAAGTTATTGAAAAAATTAATAACAGTAGGAAAATTTTATTTAAAAAAGTATACTGTAAAAATATTTTAACTTTAAAAAAACTTCAATTGTCTAAATTATTGTTGATTAAAAATGTATTTTCATTTTTAAAAAATAATCTTTTCTAAAATTATAGGTTACTTATTTATTAAATTAAAACATAGCCCCCCCCCCGTAAGAAAATATTTGAAAACTTATCAAAATATAACTTTTAAGCACCGTATATATTATTGCTTTAGGTCATTTGTTAACGAAATTAATTTAATATATGGCGTTAAATATTGGGCAGGTATATAATTACCTACAGTGTGTGGAATAATTAAATTGGGTATATAAAGTTAGCACAACGATCTAAGCACAATCAATCAGAACCTTATCTATAATTATGTGCGAATTATGTGCAATTTTTGTGCGCTATTCACGATTTTTGTGCATTTATAGTTTTTTTTTGTAATTAAATATTGTGCTAGCTTAACATTAAGTTAGCACAACTTTTTATTATTTATCAAGTAATTTTAATTTAATAACACCATAATTTTGTGCGTTTTTTTGCAAATTATGTGTGGAATCAAAAATAAATTTGGTCAAATATATTCTTTTTTAATTAAATATTGTGCTAGATTAACGTTTTATTTAGCACAACTCTTTATAATTTATCAAGCAATTTTAATTTAAATTATACCATAACTTTGTGTGTTTTTTGTGCAAATTATGTGTGGAATCAAAAACCAATTTGGTTAAATATATTCTTTTTAAATCAAAATGAAAATAGTTCCATCGTTGTTAATTTTTGCAAAAATAAATAAAAATTGAACCCAAAATAAAAATATGACTTTTATTTTTATAAATTTATTAGGTGAATATGTACAAAAATAAAATACTGCGATACGAGCATTAGATTGCGACACCCCAAATACCCCAAAAAGCAAAACACCACCCTACAAATCACTTGGGTATTGTTATCATCATTATTGAAAAAAAAAAAACAATATATTTGACCAAATTTATTTTTGATTTCGCACACAATTTGTACAAGAAACGAACAAAATTATGGTGTTATTGAAATTAAAATTACTTGATCAATAATAAAAAGTTAGCTAACTTTGCGATAAGCTGGCATAATATTTAATTAAAAAGAATATATTTGACCAAATTTATTTTTGATTCCGCACATAATTTGCACAAAAAACGCACAAAATTATGGTGTTATTTAAATTAAAATTACTTGATAAATAATAAAAAGTTGTGTTAATTTAATGTTAAGCTAGCACAATATTTAATTAGAAAAAAACTATAAATACACAAAAATCGTGAATAGCGCACAAAAATTGCACATAATTCGCACATACTGATAGATAAGGTTTTGATTGATTTTGCTAAGATCGTTTTGCTAACTTTACATACCTAATTAAATTGGCTACATATATAGAAAAGTTGTTTCTGGCAAAATGTTATTTTTTTTTGATCGTTGATGAAATTTGGTGCCTCTACAGGGATTTTCAAACATTGTCAATTATAATTAAAAATGTTCAGAATTGAACAATACCTGGAATATATTATCCAAGTATGCAATCACAGCTGACCATATACAATCGAACTGGAGGAGTACAATAGGCAACCTGGAAGAAAGCTACTTAATTTGTTTGGAACAAATAATAGATTTACTTACGAAGAGGTTTTTAAAAGATGGGACTTCTTAGAAAAAGAAGCAAGTAAACAAGGAATTTCAATAATTGGGTTTTCCTCGGATGGTGATATACCTTTATTAAAAGCCATGCGAATTAAGTAAAATTTCCAAAAGACTGATAAATAATCTTGTGAAACATGGGACTGGTTTCACATGCCTCTTAATGGGCACTGTTGTATCCAAGATTATGTAAATATAATGACGAAATTCTGGACTATACTGCTAAAATCATACCTTAAACGAAACCAAAATGACGAAGAATTTAATAAACAAAGACAAAATGAAAATAAAAAAACATAAAAAATGATAATAGGGTCTTTTGAAGTTTCAAAAAATTATTTAGTTGATCTGATAACAAGATTTACTAAAGATAAACATCTGCTAATACCATCTGATCTTTATTTAAATGATAAAATGAATTATAAATCTGCAGAAAAGATGTTTTCTGAAATGGTACAAAATTTGTTAAAAACTCAACCTGATGCACTAGGAACCGTCAAATACTTAAATTTAATGAACAAGATCAAAGTGGCGTTTTTGGATAAAAATGTTTTGATTTATTGTATGTGGAATGTTGTGTTCTTTTTACGAATTTGGAGGCGATGGATAATCTCTGATGAAAACCTGAGTTTATCAAATAATTTTATTACATTAAATAGCTACTTATGTGTGGAACTTAATATATATGTTATTATAAAGTTAAATAATTTGTTTAAAGAAAATAAACAGATAGATGAAAATACTTCAAAAGAAATGTTTTTACCATTGCTATTTAGTTCTCAACCATGTGAAAAACTGTTTAGAGCTGTGAGATCTAGGCATCCACTTTCTCAACAGTTGTTAATTTTAGTGTGTTAGAAATAATTAAGAGAACCAATAAGATAGAATATATTAACGACTGTATAACAAATTTATATGACACATTTATATTCCCTAGAGAGAACAATTATAAACATAATTTAGACCCAAATTTAAACGAATATGCCGGTATATAAAGACATTTGGAAAAATATAGAATACATAAAATATTATGAAGAAGGCAAAGAAACCGTTCATTCTGACATTGACTCGGATGATGATTTAATTATAAATGAAAACGTATAAGAAAGTAATAATATAATTGAAGGTCAAGAACTTTTTTAAGATATTACCTCAGAAAGCGAAGCTGACAGAGAACAAGAAATTATTGAAAGCCAAGGTGAGACTTCGGCTGAGACCACTTCTGAAGGAGGAAATATTTTGAAAAACTTTACTCCTCTGAATGTTAGTGATACTAAAACAAAAAAATGTAGTGCACATAAAAATTGGAAATCTAAAACAATTAGAAAAACAACATTATTTTGGGTACTAGACAAGCATTCCAATAAATTAAGTTCGGACACGATTATATGAGTTAGGGGAGTCCCAGAATTTGCCGATTCTAAAAATTACAAGAAAAGCACTGTCAATTTATTAGGAAAGATAATAATAGAAAGTAGAAATGATGATAAAGTTTTTAAAAGAAGACTTAGGTCACTATTATTGGCCTAACAAGGATAATATGCAGTTAAAAAGGAATGCATCCTATTCGGGCCAATATTTTTAGGTTTTAAACCGTTTAGTATAACCAAAGAAACAAAGAAAGAAATAAGGAAAATATATAAAGAATATAAGCCTGCAACAGTTTATTAAGAGTTTTAAGTAATTTGTTTTTATTTATTATTACTTTGTTTTATTTTAAATAAGTAACACGTTTTTAATAAAAATAGACAAAAATTTTTAATAAATAAAAAAGTGTCTCAATAAAAATTTATAAAGCACATTACTTAATAATTTTTATATATTTGAACCAAATTTTTTTCAATATTTTTGTCAGAATTTTTGGCTACACACGATTCTATACGGTGCTTTTAAATATTTTAATTATGAGGATGTTATAAAAAAACCAAATCCGTTTTTTTTTTAGTTTTGTTGATTATATGTACAATAATTTGTCAAATATTAAGGAAGCGAAATGTTAAAAAATTAAATGTTTTATTTATTAACATGATTTTTTTCTTAAGTTAATATCTTATCTTTTTATTTCTCATATTTTATCAAAAGTAAAATATAATCTAAATTGAGGGAAAAAATGCTAATCATCGAGTTAATAAATCTGGAACAATTGTTTATTTTCCTAATAATTTAAGGACCTTATTTACTAATTTTATATAAATAAAAATTTCCTAGGTTTATTCGGTCATGTTTTTATTTTCTATCGTTTAGCACAGCACTATACATATTTACTAAGGCTTCGATCACATAAGAGGCACGCTTGTGCAAGTAATTTGGTGGCGCGCGCGTGCGCAAGCTGGCGTGAACAGCAATGTGCTCACTAAATTTTAGCAGGTACAAGTTATAAACAGGTCAGTAAAAATGGAGATGTCAGACGATGAGGACATTGTTTTGGAAAATGGTTTTTTAAAGTTTTTATTTTTGGATGAGCAGGAAATCGGGAAAGAGTGGGTTAACGAGTATTTTTTAGACAGAGAGGAAGATGGAGAATATGCACGAATATTTAACGATTTGCTTAGAGAGCCTAATAAGTTTTTGAAAACATTGAGTTCATTTGAAATATTGTCCCAAAGCTTCTTGATATGATCCCTACTGCTGTGAAGTTTTAACGATGCGTCTCAAATCGGTCTTCTTCTTCTCATGGCATCGATAAGCGTTTCCGTATCCATCATATACTCGTAAACACAAATCAGGAGCTCCACAACACTACACTATCACTGCGTCGACGGTCAAAAATCAACTGAGATCTCGCCCGCTTGCAATTAAAAAACAAATATTTTTGTTTCGAATCAAGTTTGCACAAGCGTGCACATGCTTGTTGCGTGCAGTGTGAGCGGCGATGGACAAGCACCACTTGTTTCTGTCGCTGTCCTGAGGATTTTGTTTCTATATGTACGCTTGCGCACCAAATTACTTGCACAAGCGTGCCTCTAATCTGATCGAAGCCTAACTGTTCTTTAGAAATACTTGGTTATTCTCATATATTTTTCGGGCATTACCTGGATATAATCAGTTATTCTCTCAGTATTCCAGGTATTCTCTGGGTATTCTCTGGAATTCTCAGGTATTCTTTATGTTAGGAATTCTTGTGCACACATTTTTTGGATGTGTTTACCCCTCGACCTATTTACAAATAGCAAGCAAATAACATGACACTCCACTTTTTGTCTCTATGGACTTTACCATAGGTAGATTACTGTAGTAATTAGGTTATTCTTTTTCATATCATTGGAGGCATGAGGCTTTACAAACTTTTACAATTTGTTCTATTTATCTATACAAATTTGATTGTTTTTTTTTTACTACTATATTCAACATTTTGTTTGGCTTACGAATATCATTCTCGTCCTTATGTGTAATGTATGGAATATCATTCTCGCCCTTTTGCATAATGGATGTCCCATGAACTTTCAGTTTTCTCATAATTATTTGATATCCAGTTTGGCCAATATTACACCTCTACAAAATTTACGTTATAGTTTTAGAGAAAAAGTGCAGATTTGTGACTTATATACTTATGGGTGAATTTATTATGAAAATGTATTATGATAGTTTATTTATCCTGAAAGATCATTTACATGATATAGGAAATGTCACAATATATAATAACAAGAAAAATTTAATAAAAAATACAAGAAAATACAAATTAAAAGTAAAACCCATAAAAATAAAAATATAAAACAGGTAAATACAGTTAGTTAAGAATACTTATGTTAAATTGAAATAAAAAGTATGAACAACAAAAAAAAAGTAGTGCGACATTGAAAACATTAATTACACGAAAAAGTCTTTAACGTTATACTGACATTTTTCTATTAGGTACTGTTTCAGTTTGATTTTAAATAGCTATAAGTCACTATGTGAGATGATTGAATAGGCGCACACCGATGTTTTGTAGATTTTTTTTATATAAAGCTGAGGCATGTTTTGGAATACGTAATTGGTTTCCACTTCTAGTTGGATAATGATGGGTGTCTAAGTTACGGGGAAATTGTGAAATATTTTTTTTTCATGTACATAAGAATTTTAAATATAAAAATTGAAGGAAAAGTAAGTAATTTATATCTTTTAAAGTGATCTCTACAAGTTGTTCTGGCATCTAAATTAAAAATAAGCCTGATTACTCTTTTTTTGTGAAATAAAAACATGTGGAACCTCAACAGCTTCTACCCATAGTAGTACATTAAATGACAGTTGAGAATATACCAAGGCATAGTATACATTGAGAATCTGACTTGTAACCAAAATACTCTTTAATTGCAGGATGGCATAATAAGAACTATTTATTTTTTTACATATAAAATCAATATGGGATTCCCAGCTCATATTGCTGTCAAGAAAGATTCCAAGAAATTTAGTCTGATTTGATAAAGGAATAAAATCATCATTTACTTGTATGAGAAAATCCGTAGTGATTCTGGTTCTAGAGAAAATTTGCATGCATACAGTTTTATTTGCATTCACAATTAAAGAATTCCTTTTACACCAGTTTGTGAATTAATTGGCAATGGTGTTGAGATTGCTCTGTAGTTGTTCTGGCGAGTCAGCATCAGTTGTTGCTGTGCTATCATCAGCATAAATTGCAATATGTCTGGCAGAAAGATATTGTGGCATATCATTTATGTAGAAAAGGAAAATTAGTGGCCCAAGTACTGATCGTTCAACGTATCTTATTTCAGATATATAATTTTTCATTTTAACGACGATTTTTCTATAGTTTAGTATTTTATATTAATTTAATAAAACATCCTATAGGTAGTTACGCATAACAGATTTGGTTGTTTTCACATCGTTATACAATTTTAATAGACTAAAAATGTTTTGAATTTTCTTTCATTTGTTATGATGTATACAGAGAGTGTGTTACGATATTCTCCACTTTTTCAAATGCAATACTCTATGTTGTACCACTAATTTACAAAGTAATTTTTTTTTTATTTTGTTCGGCATTCCTTATACCCAAACGCATTTTTTCCTCAAGATTTTGTTGGTTTTTTTCATGACAATTGACATCATTTGTTAACATTTTTCTAATTGGCTTTTGAAAAGATAAACATATTTAGGGTAAAATGCTAATGTAATTTTTGGTAACCCATTTGTCAGAATAAATGAATGGTTTTATATTTCTTCGACGTTACAAGTAATATGAACCACTGTAAATAAAATAAAAAAAATGCGTTTAGGTATAAGGAATGCCAAACAAAATAAAAACTAAAAAAACTAATTATTACCTAATTAAATTGGTGGTATAACATACAGGGTATTCCATTAAAAAAAAAAGAAAATCGTAACCTCGCGGTTTCCACACCCTAAATACAATATAGCAAATAAATGGAAATTTAAAACATTAAGTCTATTAAAAGTGTTTGACGATAAAAAAACAATCAAATTTATTATGCGTAACTACCTACAGTGTGTTTAGTTTAAAACATTATAAGTTAGTTCACTCCTTATTCATGGACAATTTAAACTGCTTAAAAATATTAAAATTGACCCAGTATCCACCGATTTAAAATCTCTATAAAAACCTTCAGGCATTAAACAAGGTTGGTTATTTTCATTAAAACTTAAACATTAAATGTGGATGAAAACCGTATATTTGTACATTGTTAAAATCACCTGTATCTACAGATTACGTGTGTCTTTTTATCCAACTTTGCTGCAATCGATGCAACACCAATCCATCAGTTTCAATGTATGGTTTTTCTGTTTAGATGTGACAACTGACAGCTGGATTGCGGGAATTAAGCAGAATTAAGGAGTTAATTAATTATTTCAACCTTAGCCTTAAGGCTTCTAGCTCCGATGTTACGCCATCAATTGCTTGAGATAAAACTGGTAGCTGATCCATTTTTCTTTTAAGATAAGTGCTCTCATTTCGTAGTGAAGCCATTTGCTTTAGAAGAGCTTATGCACTCTTAAAGGCTTTGCGACAGTCTGGGCAAAAGTAAACTGATGTCCTTTTCTGAATAACTGCGGCTCTTATCTGAGAAGTTGATAGACCAGTGCAACTATCAGATAAATGCATAATCGAATGACAACGATTTGTCATCGTTTTCAACACAACAGTTGCTTTCCATTTTTAAAAATATACAACTTCTCCTAGCCTAGACTATCGCAAAACTGTTAAATTTCGCAGCAAAAGCTCCCTGACTATCGGGTTCTAATGATTGGCGATTGTCTTTATCACAAGTTATATTTTGGCCTTTAGAAAAATAAACTTGTCTTGGCTAAGTTTTATGATTTGAAGTAAAGTTATACTTGATAACAAGCACCTTTTTTCATTAGATAACATTCACTAAGTTTAGATAATAAGTCTAGTTTTATTTTGATATAAGGTTTCCTGTATGAAAAAACGGATTTTGAAGGAGTATAATAAAAGTGCACTTCTTTCTTCTATAAATATATTATGTTATTGAACATACATACATGTTCTTAAAATAATTGACAAAATGCTTTTCATGAAAATTAATGAAAATGACTAATTACATAATGTAACGATTGTTTAATTTAAAAATAGTTTATTTATTAAAAAACAGTTTACTTATAATTTATTTATAACGTACTAATTAATTTATTTAATACTTAGCCACTATTATAACTCACAATTCTAATTTATTTATTACAATATACATAATGAAAATTAACGTCTACCGACAAACTCGCGCTATTTATACATAAATAAAACAATCTAGA